TTTCTTTCTTTCTTTCTTTCTTTCTTTCTTTCTTTCTTTCTTTCTTTACTTTCTCTCTCTCTCTCTTTCAGCATATAAACTGGAAATAAATTTTATATTCAAGCTGAAACTTGATAGATTGATGTCTATGAAATTTCTTCTAAAGATAAATTAATTAGCTTTGTATAAGGCATTTTGAAATACTTTGCTAGATGTTGCTGTTGGTTTCTAACTGAAAGTTCACTATTTAAATTTCAGATATGAGCCAGTTTTAATTTAAATTTGGCTAAAACAGGACTGAGGAGATGGCAGTTCTGAAATCTGTTGTTTCTGAGAGAATATTGAAGAGGTTACATTTTCAGATCACCTAATTGATCACCACATCAACTGGACCTTTGTGTCAACCTGCTGAGTATGGGATAAGCAATTTCAGTGCCCTGCTTTTTCTTCTTGTAATACTATGTCTTATAACAAGACTGAACAAATTTTCAAATACCTCTAAGAGATTTAGCAATTTCATTTTTTTATTCCTTGAAAAGAACAATGTCCACCATCATTTGCCTGGAAAAGTTTATGTTTTTACCTTTTCTTTAGAAATTGGAAAGTACATCTTAAATCAAAATGAAAATAATCTGTGAACTCACCAAAGCCCTTGGTTACTTGATCAAGGATAGGTACTGGAGGTCGTCCACCAAATTCTTCATTATGAGTTATCAAAGCATCTTTCACTGCCTCAATTCCACAAATCACAACCATTGGCTTTGTTCCTAGCCAGATAGTAAAAACTGGACCATACCTTTTACTGAGCTGAGGGGGAAAAATCCATCAAAGGCATGAATCAGCAGGAGTTGTGAACTCACTCTTGGATATCTAGCTCAATTAGCAGCTAACAAGATATTTTACTCATGCTATTGCATTCTGTAATAAAATTATTAGATTTTTAAACAAGAAAGATAAAAACTTACAGAAACTAATATTTAAGAAAAAAAAGTAGAATAGATTAAAGCCAAAACTACAGCAAAAAGAAAAAAAATACAAATAAATAACTTCAGATTTTGTTTTACATAAATTATAGTTACAAATTTACATTAAAAAGCAAAATGATGCCCTGAACCCACCTGATCAAGCTGGCTCAGAAGCATACTCTGATTGACAATATCAAAAGCCACTGAGAGATCAAGAAGTAAGAATGAATGCACCACTTCCATCCCAGCTCCACCACATCTACAAGTTCTATTCTTTCTTTTTTTTTACTAATCTTACTAATTTTATTCTCTTTTTTCATTTCATTTTCCCCCTTTTTTATACTTAGTGTATTGAAAAAATTGTAATTAAAAGTATTTAAAAAGAAATATGCCACAGAATAGCACTTGATAGATCAAATACAAAGATAAGCTATTCAAATGCTATGATGTGTCTATACCTTCAAAATCACAATTGCGTAAGCCATGGCATTACTCCTAACGTTCTATGGAAATTAAAGTATGACGCAAGATAGGAAGAATATTGAGAAATTTGATGTTACAGAAAACTCTTGAGACTATTGCAGACATGCAAGAAAACAAACTTATGGATCAGCAAACCAATTAACCCAAGGCACAAATGACCAGGCTCAAATTGTCCTACTTTAGCCACAGTATGTGAATACATAGCTCTCTGAAAATGGCTCTTAATGTTGGGAAAGGTAGAAGGAAAGAGAAGACGGCCAGGAGCAAAGTTGATTGGACTCAGAGTGATGATGAGTGCATCATTATGAGACTTGAAAGAAGTGATTAGGGCTAGATCATTATGGGGAAAATCTATGTGGATACCAGGAGTAAAAACAATTTGATGGCATATAATGAATCTATCAGTAAACCTGTGTCTGGAGAGACTTGCGTGAAGTCTTCGTCTAATGGTGTTCTATTACATGAAACTATTAATTGATATTGTTACACTTTAAATTAGATTTTGTATTATATTATCTTCTGAACATAAACAGATTGGGGGTTTATACATTGTGGATGTTTAAAAGTTTTATTATATGATTTGCTATTGTTCTAAGCTGTGAAAGTCTACAAGAATTTGTCAGCATATGCATTTAATAAACCAGTACTTCCAGAACAGGACATTCAAAGAAAGTGGAAAGAGCATGTCACACTATTCACCACGGCTTCTTTAATAAGCTACAGCTGTCTAGGTTCAAGCATCCCATAAAGCCAGAGATTTAAATCCATGTTATGTGGGTTCACCCAAAGCCACATAAAAGCCATCTGTAAGCAAATAATGTGCACCTTTTATAGTACAATGTGTGAATTTAACTTTTATGTGTTTCATCTATTTCAAAATCAATAAAAATCAGCCATCCTGTTTTAGTAGCTTCTGAAAATACTTCTCAGATTATCAACTAAAAAGACTAACAAAAGACTAAAATAAAGTCTAATCTGAATAATGCTAACAGGAAAAAAACAGTATTATTTTTATTAGATATTACTTATTTTGACCTGTACAACATTCTATGCTTCTTATTCATACCACTTAGTCTTCAATAAAATATGGTTGTGGTTAAACCTATAAACAAACAAACGAATGAATAAACAAACAAAAGACAGACAGAAGTGGAGCTGAGAGCATCTTTAATAGTATTGAAAAGAACCCCAACCTTGAAATATTGGCTTTAGCTTTCCCAAAATAAAGGAAATTGATATCATCCCCAAGCGATTCTTGAATCTCTCAACCATTAAGAAAAGAAACCTATTTAAGACTGTCTTACCTTTGTGTAGGTGTTAAACAGAGGCAGAACATCTTTTTGCAATAGATTTCCTAAAAAGAGCCAGGGTCTAGGGCCAGGAGGGAATCTGGTTCTTCTTTGGTGAAACCGGAAGGCCCAGAGTGTGAACAGAAAGACAATAAATAGTACTGCTGTCCCAGGGATCAGCTCCATCTGCATTTTTATTCGTGCCTTGGTGGAGTGAAAGAGGTGAGACTGTGGGCTTGAAAGAAACCGCAAAGTGTGAGACACAGAGAGAACTACAGAGGAAAAGTCAATATGATTTTTTTCTCTAGCTTTCTCCAGTTCACTCCCCGTATTATCTTTTCTCTTTTGTTGGTGAGCTTGCAGGCTACCAGTTATTCCAGTACATAAAATGCTGTGTTTAAGTATTCATTTTGATCCCATAAACAAATCTGAAGCAGAGTGAAGTAATACCCTCTTAACATGCTTCTAACGAAACAAATGGGTATCTTCTGATTGTGGGTAGATTTAGGATGTAAAATGCAGCTAAATGGCATTAGAACAAGTGTGAAGAAGATAGTATTGGAAAGTCATGTTCTGGCCAAGCAGCTGGACTTGGTAGATTTCCATAATAAGGAAATTGTGTGATAAGACCAAGTGTTGGCCAGTCAGCCAACAGGAAGAAGGGGATGAACAGATAAGCCTGTTTTAATATACCCCCAGATGAGGGCTCTCCTCATCTCTGCATCAGTTGGTCAGACAGCAGAGAGATAGGAGCAGGAACAGTAACTTGTCCAATTCCAAACATTTGGACTTCAATTCTAAGACTGCATAGCTAGCATAGTTAGCAATAAGATATTGTGAGAATTGCAATTCCAAAATGGGATTGCACATTAGGTTTGTTACCAGTCCTTGGTTACAATGCTGAATTTGAGATGCAAAGACCAAGATCGATATTTTTATTTCATACGGAACTCAATACAGTTTCTGTCCTTCAGTCTGAGCTACAGCTCAAGGCTGTTTATAAAGGTAATACAGGGAAGATTTATAGTTTTAAATTTTTGAAAAATCTCAAGAGCAATCAAATTAACAGGGATGGACAACGTTCTGAAGGAACTTTCACTTTCACGAAGGTATATGGAAAGCATCCCCATGAAACTGTTTTTCAAAACAATGATACTCCCACTTTCTGAAAGTAAAGCAAGATCAGCATTGAGTTGTGTCTGGGGAGGTTCTGACTCATGAAGACAGTAATGGGAACTGCTTCTGCACAAGTCTCTTCTGGCTACTAAAATTACAGGCTAAAGCTCCAGAAGGAACATAGAGCACCTCACTGAGGCAAATCATGTCCCATCTATTCTCTGGCAATGAAATTGTGTTGGTTTTCATTTGTTGAAGCAAAATCCTGTTATGTCACATAGGCCTTGAGTGTTTGTTTTTGCAAGTTGCCACAAAATCCAATCAAGGGTACTTTACCATAGACTCACTTTACAATAACCCATGAACAATATAATAATGCAAAAAAAAAATTGTTTTTAGCTATTAATTTAGGTTTGCCTGTTCCTAATTCACAAGCACTGGGTATATTTCTGTATTTAGCAAAACTGCAGGAAACCAATCAAGCAATCAAAGCAATGCACTATTTGCATTTAAAGCCTGAAGTTCAACTTAAAGGTTGGCATGTATTTTTGGTGAATAACAAAGAAATACAATTTTGTATTTACAATATGCAATCAGAAAACTCAATAACAATAACAACACTATTTAAGGCATGATCATAGTGCACATACCTTTCAACAGTCTACTTGAGTTTTGTCCTCCACAGCAGTAGACCCAAATGGTTCCTCTTTGCATGAACATCTGGTTTTATACCTGCTGCACTTTCTAATCCCCTCCTCTTCCTTTTCATTCCAGCCAATAGCACCAGGAATGGAACTGGATTCTTGTTGCAAATATCAGAAATAATGCAGCTGAAAACAGCTTTTCTTTTAAGTTTTTTCACTGCCACACAAATTTAGATCCTTCTGCCACTGTTAAAATGATATATCAGTTATCAAAACAGGTATTATTACAATGTTACAAGATGTAAAGATATTTTACCTGATTTAAAATTGTATTTTGCAATTTGCTGTTTTATTTGGATAAACAAGGGGATGTTGCTAAGAAATAGAAGCCTTTTGGAGTTGGAAAGATATGCCTGAGATTTAAATGGTATAGACATTTGTGATCAAAGTTAAAATAGATTTTAAAAGCTATTATGTTAGACATGACATATTGAGAATATGGAATAGATACAGACCCAAGTTGTGCCCAGAACAAGAAGCATTTTATAGACAAAAAATATTAGGCTGTTTTAAATATTAATGTACAATTGGGACCAGAGTTTTTTTCTTTTGGGAGTCATGGACAAACAGTTGGAAAAGGTATGGAACATTTTTTTGTACATGATAAATGCAACAAAAGAAAGTATGCACAAGGTGGAAAGATTCAGTCTTAAGCAAAATGGATGAATGGTTGGTAAGAATGCAGGAACTTGGTGAGATGGCTAAATTGATTTATTTGATCAAAGAAAGGACAATAGCTATATTTGTCAATAGCTGGAAACCCTTTATAGACTCTTGCGTGGAACAGAAAAAAATGAACTTATGATTTTGATGATTAGACAGGAGATGTCTCCTTTGATTAGAATCTGTCTCTTTCCCTAGCAAAAAGGTTGGAAGTTGCTTTCCCTTTTGAAATAGAAGACTTTATGTACATTTCTGTTTTAATAGAAGGAATATCAGTTAAGATCTTGTTTTAGTTGCTTAACTGTTGCTGAGCAGGTTTAGCAGAAATAATTTGGTCTTTAAAATATGAGTGTTATTTTTTTGAAAATTGCTGTCTGTTTTTGAAACAATTTCTATTAGTCTCCTTAAGGAACTTTTGCTGACATCCCAAATGAAAACCTCTCAAAAAAGCCTACAAGGATTTCAGAAGTTAAAACAGCTATCATACAATGCTGAAACAGGACACTCTATTTGCACTGCACTCTCAATATATTCAAAGTAATACACTGTATACCCCCTGCCCAGGGGTGGGATTTTACCAGTTTGCACATTTTTGCTAGAACTGGTTGTTAACATTTTAAGCAGTTCAGAGAACCGGTTGTTAGAAGAAATTACTGACCTAATCCTGTAAGGAAGGCAGGAAAGAAACATTCTGGTGTTGCTTACAGAAACTGCCTCTCCGTTAACTCTTATTACATTCTTGGCAGGACTACCTGTCTCAGGAACATCTCTGGAGTTTTTTTCCCCTCCTTTGCTGGTACTTTGCTTGTGTGGCGTGACCATTTAAAGTTACAATGGCACTGAAAAAAGTGACTTATGACCATTTTTCACACTGACTGTTGCAGCATCCCCACATTCATGAGAGGCCAGGCGAGGAGATGCGTGCCTCGATGTGAGTGCTATTGAGTTGGCCACACCCAGCCAATAACATGACCACCAAGCCATGTCCACCCAGTCACATGACCACCAAGCCATGCCCACCACCTAAGCCATGCCCACTGAACTGGTTGTTAAAATTTTTGAATCCCACCCCTGCCCCTGCCCACAACCATTTAATCCCACTATTAATCCCTTTCTATCTGAAAAAAAGTTTTAGAAGTTTAAAGCCTTGCATTTTCCTCTTCCCATTCAAGCATGTAATTCCTATTGCTTTAGAACATCTTTTCTGCTTTCACGTGGTAGGAGATGGCGGCATCTGTTGAGCAATGGCTAGGCTTGTTTCACTGTAAGAGAATTAGAGTAGGGGCTAAATTTACATTCTGACTGCATGCTCTTGAGTTCATATATTGATAATGCATTGACTTTTTGTTCATTTCCTGGTTCCTCCCCGCAACAATACACAGCTGGAAATGTCCTGTATTCCTGGATTTGTTTCCTATTCTACAGTCTGTTTTGTTCAGACTATGAGGTACTATCAGGTACAAACAGACTACTATTTGTACCTGATAGTAGCATGTGGAAGTCTGAGTTTACATTGCTTGATGAAGGTGTGGGCAATAAATGAAGCATTGCTTTAGCAAAGATTTATTAACATATGTCAGAAGAATAATTTCCCTCCTGAATGATTGCCTTACTCAGTTCAAGATTCCCAGTAAGTCTAGGGCCCTCCATTGCTCCAACTTTTGCATTCTTGTGAATTTTAGTGATTTGTGAAGATAGATGCTTACAGTGCTGGTATAGTTGAAAATGCACAAACATAAACCTGGTTTCTTTACAAGTGTTCAACAGAAAGAAAGTGAGGAGGGCAAACAGAAAAAAGTGTCCAGCACACTAAATCACCCATATGTCCCCTATGTATACAATTTTAACGAACCAAGAAAAGAAAAGAAATTACTGTTCTCTGTATTCAGTATTTTTTTCCAATAATTTTTGGACATGTACACATCTACTTTGCAAGTCTTGTTGTGACCTCCATATAATTAACCACATATTAGTAATGAGAATGAAACAGACTTTCACAAACTGGACATAAATGGACCTATCCTTTCCAAACATCCCAATGGGGTGGTGTGTTATGGAAATACAGTCACAGAGATATCCACTTTGGGGATACAAACTCTACCACTTTTGTATTCATGTTATATTGCCATTTTGTGTATCACGGTGGTTTGGAAGACAGATACCAATGAATAGGTTCCAATTGTTGGGTCACATTATCAGTCTGATGGCAAATAACATTATTTTTCTGCCAGAACCATAATGCTATTTCATTATTATTGTATTGTTATTATCTATTATGATTTTGCAGGAGGAGTTAATCTTCTGTTTACCACCAAAGATCTTGCAATGCAGTCAAAATCATGTATAAGGGAGAGTGATAGAAAAGTATATGTATTATTGGGAACCAATTTTTGTTTGTTTACATATGTATATGTTGATGTATATAAGTGCACAGGGGCGACAGATTAATTTGCTTGTAAGTGCTTGTGTGTACCAGATATTTCATTGGATCCCAAATTGTTACTTAACCTCTGTTCTATTGCCCTCAGTAAATTCTTGAGATGACTGGTTATGTAATGTTTACAAATGAAGAAAGAAGGTATCTGCCCAAAGGGAGTATTTCCTTGTTCCCCAGTCTAGGCACTAATTAACAGTCCTATTATTAAAAAACTATTATTTTTTTTCCAGCGGTCCTCAAATCTTAAACTTCTGCATATGTTCATG